CTTTCTGGACCACACAGCAAGGAATGGCGCGAAGCAATGGACGCAGAGATCAAGGCGCTGGAGTCACGAGACAACTGGGTGCTAGTCGACCGCGGGGCGATCAAAGGCGCAAGAATCCTCTCGGGGAAGTGGGTCTTCCGCGTGAAAACCGCAGCGGACGGAACGATCGAGCGCTTCAAGGCGCGTTGGGTGGTTCGCGGCTACGATCAGAGGCATGGCATCGACTTCGACCAGACGTTCGCCCCAGTTAGCCGCCATACCTCCGTTCGAATCCTGCTCGCCATTGCAGCTGCAAGGCACCTACCACTCCGCCAGATCGACGTGAAGATCGCGTTCCTGTACGCGTTAGTGGATGCCGTGATCTACGTGGAGCAGCCGCACACCTACGGCGAAGGGGACTCGCGCGTGTGCCAACTGCGCAAGTCACTCTACGGGATCAAACAGGCTCCGAGGCTGTGGCAGCAGTACCTGCACAACATCCTGCTTGAAATCGGATTCAAGCAGATGCCGCACAATCCAGGGATGTATCGCCGCGAATTCCGCGGGGAATACATTCTCCTCACGGTGTACGTCGACGACCTGCTTTACACAGGCTCAAACAACGAGCTTCTCGAGCAGTTCGAGAAGGCCTTGGCGGAGCGTGTCGACATCACGTGCAACTACGAGGTGAAGCAGTTTCTAGGCCTCAACATCTCCTACGCGCCTGAGTCCATTCATCTCTCAGCGGCTAAGTACGCAGAGGAGTTAGGGAAGCGGTTCAACATTTCACCTGCACCTCTCTCAACTCCCTACCGAACTCCCTACCCGACAACAAACCCCTATCCCCTGCTGTGATTCAGACTTACCAGCAGCAGTTGGGATGCCTCCTCTTCGCCTCTGTCACCTGCGGGCCAGACCTCTCGTACATCGCCAGTCAGCTGGCGCAGTACTCACGCAAACCAACGGCTGAGAATCTTCTGGATCTGCAGCGCGCCCTTCAGTTCTTCGTTTCAACGCCCAAGATTGGGCTGTGCTACTCAACTGCACCAACGCCATCCTTCAACCTCATCGGCTATGTGGACGCCGATCACGCAGCAGACCCCGATAATCGACGGTCCAGGACTGGCTTCCTGTTCCGACTCGAGCCAACGGGACCAATCTCCTGGAACTCGCAGAAGCAGGAGCTGGTTGCCCTGTCGTCAGCCGAAGCGAAATTCATCGCAGCAACCGCAGCAGTTCGCGAAGGCCTCTACTTGCAGGAACTCCTGCAAGAGGCGAAAATTCCAGCTTCGCCCACATTTCGCCTTCACTGCGACAACCAGAGCGCGATTCGCATCGCCAACAAACCTGGTTTCGTCAACCGCACCAAGCACATTGCGCTGCGGTACTTCTTCGTGAAGGATGAGGTGGACAAGGGCAAGGTCAACTTGACCTACTGCCCGACCGGTGACATGGCAGCAGACTTCCTCACGAAGCGACTGCCACGCCAGCAGTATCAGCACTGCTCCGAACTCAGCGGCGTGGTCAAGCAGGTCAAGTCGAGCTACGGCCAGGAGTGAAGGGGGGTGTTACGAATAGTAATACTTGAATATTACTGTGCACTCCTCACCGCATCAAAGAGAAGCACGCAGTATCGCGAATGAACGCGAAGCGTCAGACGGTTGGAATCGACTCGAAGCGTCAGACAGTTGGGACGCATCTGGACCGTCGAAGCAGACAGCATCAGGGAGCTGCAGGCAGGATGGTTTCGGCGGGAACAGTTTCGTAACTGTTCGCGCCGCACGGTTGGGAATGTATTTGAATAAGGGAATGTACCCCTTAGAGTACATGGCTAGCTAGGTCGTTTCATCTCCCCTGTACTCATATTCATATTTGCTGTATTTGCATGTTTTAAATCATCTCAAAGTATTTTACATTCACTCTGCTACTGAGGTCAAGGGCCCACCAACATCACTTCTCTGCGTGCGAACCTTCCTGAGTAGATCCTAGGCCACGATCAACTTCTGATCGCAACAATGTCAACCGTTACGCCTTATGCCCATTCACCAGTGGAAGTCATATTCTGAAAAAAAAAAAAAAAAAAAAATCAACAATTCAGACAGTGGCAAGAATCAAACCAGCCTGTTCATGAAACATTTTTTTTTGCTGAGGATGTAGCTACACTTGCTAGGCTATCTCAGAATTGTTCTGTGGGTGTTACGGGTGCAATGAATTGAAGTAGCGAGAATTGCACTAAGGTGTCAAACGAGTACAAAATGTGAGCGAAGGCATGAGCGAACATTTATACGCGAAACATGCAAACGGTAACGCGGTGCGTGCGGGCTAGCTAGTGCTACGCTGGAAGCGAGGCTCAGGCTAGTCCCGAAGCGTAGGCCGACACGGCCGGGCCAGCAGTGCGAGGTTTGGTGAAACAGTGCGCGCGAAGTCGGCGAAGCCCCGTTAGCAGTAACGGGCGAACAACGGCTGCTGCTGTACGCGGTGTTGCAAGGTGCGCTAAGGAATATCGAGAAAATTCCTTATAGTGGGGTGTTATACACAACAATGTCACAATACTGTCGCCAATTGCTAGGGCTCGTTGACTGCTCTATCCGCGAACTTGTCGATTTCGCAATCCCACAACCAATAATTGGGCTCCATCTGTCGTGCTAAACTGTCGGCTGCCATCGTGGCACCACCTTCGTGACCCTCACCGCTTCAATGTTCCCTCGTGCAGTGGGTTTACCGTGGGGGATCCCGTTCCACGTGGCACGAATCGTGTACCTGGAGCAATGGGGCAAGCTGACCTCTTTCTCCCCCATGCCGAACTGTTCACCTCGAGTCTTTCGTTCCCCAGCTCCCTCCTCGCTCCACGGAATCAAGTCGTTTTGGTCGAATTCTCACCTAGTTTTGTAGGTCTCGGAGAGTAATTTAGGCTTCGCACTTCCTGAGCTGCTGCCCATTCTGACTCTTCGCGAGTCGTCGAAGCAGCATTTTTGAAGGAATCGAAGGAACTCGGCCACGAAGATGGCCGCTTCAATTCAGCTCTCAATGGCGGCGCCAGCGACCGCTCGTCTCGACTCCACCGCAGCTGCTTCAGGCAGCCGCGCATCAGAGTCGTCCACTGTTGCACTGAGGACTAGCTTGACCCCCTCCGCGCAACGGTCGCTCGCGTGCAGACGCTCCGAGGTCGTGGGCCGTTCCCTGGTTCTCGCCGGTGCTTCGGCCGCTGCTGTTCCAGCGTCCCTGTCGTACCGCAGGCTCGGCGTGTTCGCGGCGAAGAGGGTTCAATCGGACCGCTCGCTGGTGCTCAGCTCGACGCTGGAGGTGACTCCAGGCAAAGAGAAGGAAGCGCAGGAGCTGTGCAAGAAGATCTGCTTATGGGCGGAGGAGAAGAAGGTGAGAGTGAGAATCAATTCGTCAGACTTGGCTAATTGTTCCTTGCAGGGAGCATTTTCCATTCTGCTTCGGCATAGGCTTGTCTCTTTTGGAATTACGTTGTCAGTATGCTGTTCGTGGTAAGGTGTAACGCGTTCGATTTGTTCTTTATTTCTTCCATTTCCTTTACCAGAAGGACCGCGCGAACGGAATTATTCATTTCGAGTGCACAGGCGACGCGTACGAGAGCAATCTGATCCACTTCTGGGAGCGATTCGACTCGTTCCTGTCAATGAACAACATTCACGCGTCGCCAGACTACACTAAGTTCCTTGAAGAGGTCAGTCATCTGCTTTTTCCTGCTCCTCCGATCCTTTCTCTATGCTCTGCTGGCTGCGTAGTTCTCTATGCTTTCATGTCGAATTCTTGATTCGTGCCGGTGTCCAATTTTCACCTCATAAAGGTCACCTCTTTCGGTCGTGCTGGTGTCTGCCTAATCAATGCGTGCAGGTACGGCCGCTGCTAGAGGCGCCAGTGAAGCTGGCGGCGTACGAGTACAAGGACGGGCAGATCGGTCACATGCTCAACCCCATTGGTGAGTGCCTGGCTGTGAGGTATCTCTAGGTAGGAGGTACGCCAGGAGTATCATAGTTTTTGAGCAGTATTTTACTTGCAACCACCTGTGCAACTCAGTTGGGCGAGCTCTGTACGAATCCGAAATTAAGCTGCCGCTGCTGTTGGCCTAGCTGCCATGGGCATCGTAAAATACGAAACGCAACAGATTTGCAGCAGGGGTGCACAGCAGTACACTCCACTGCTCAAATGATGTTTTCCAGTGTGGGATCCGATTTCTGCACAAACCCTGCACGCTTTACTCGCAGGTTTCTGCTTCATTAATCACTAGTACTAGGGCTATCTTAAATGCTCCACGACTGTTGTCGTAGCATGGCACAAGCGCATCTTTTTGACACGCTACCCCGTATGGACACTTAGCCACTCCATGTTTTTGTTTGTGGAAATGGTTTCAAACAAAGTCTTTTGTTCCCCAACGTCTTCTCTATGCACCCACAGGTCCCAAGGGAGAGGGAGGCCTGGACGACGCCACAGGGCAGGGCGGCAGCGGTGGTGGCGCGAGCTACAAGCAGACGTCGCAATCGGTGTCGCAGGGTATTGGCGAGCGTGACGGGTGGGGTATAGCCAACGCGATCAAGATTTCTGGGCAGCGAAACGCAGCAAACGAGGAGGAGGCTGTGCGCGCCGAGAATGCGCTGGAGGCCATTGCCAAGAGCCTCAAGAGCCTCTTTGGCCAAAAGTAGTCGGCTCCTTACCTCACCCGTTTTGTATGCATCAGTCCACCTGCATTATTTGAATACTGTAACATTCAGCAAATTTTCCTAGGTTCCATCATGGCACACTCTGTCATTAGTGCACTGGTAAGGTCCAGACACCAGAGATGTTGATGCCTGTACCAGTTTAGAGCAAAACTTGGACGCAGTCCTCCTTATTAGACTGCAAACGAGGCTACAATCACGATTCACGACATATACCGACTATCTTGTACTCCTTTACTTGCCCATCAGCCTGAACCTGAATGCATGTAAGGGTAATATCGTGACCACTCACATCTGCACCTAACAAGGAGTATACCCAAAAAAGCTAGCTGCTGTCTACAGCTTGGATTGAGTGCCAGTATGGTTGCACATGAAGGAGAGCGTCTGGAAGAAGGCCACAAGCATGGGCCTGCGCACATAATCATAGCACCCCGAGATCACTGAGTACAGCTCCCCCAGCGCATCCTGCTGCCACTGCCTCCTCATCCTCTCCTCCTCATGCCCCACAGAGCTCTCAGAACTCCCTGAGACGCCGTGCCCTTGTGCCTGGTGTGCTTTGGTGGAGGGTGAACGAGCCTGGGGTTGGGTTCTGTCGCTGCGGCTCTCTGCAATTGGCGTTTCTATGGCTGATTGCTCCACGTGTGCTGAAGCGTCTGGCTGCTGCTGCTGCTGCTGCTGCCCTTTCAGCAGGGTTTGCGAATGAGGCTGTGCAGTCTCTTCTTTGCTGCACTCGTCCTTGTTTGTGACTCCAGGCTGTGACTGTAGGGAGTGTGACTGAGAAGATGGAGACGGTACAGGGCGGATAGCCACCAGGGTTGATGCCACCTCTTGCAGCAGCAAAGGGAGAACCTGCTATGCGGATGTGGGAAGCATGCAAAGATGGGTGGGAGAAGCTACAGGTATGTACGTACTTATCGAAGGTGTAACATGACAGAAAGTGTAGGGTGTGCAAAGGATGGGTGCAAAGAGCAGGTGTTGGGAGAAGTGGAAGAGAAAGGACAGTTGGGAAGGCAACGCCATGGGTGGTTAATCCAGCAGAGCAGGACTGTCAACTTGTGCTCCAGCAGTGTACTTAATACTGACTGACTGACCTCGCACACTGGCATAGGTAATCCAGCAGAGCTAGGCTATCGATCTGTGCCCCAACCGTGTACTCAGTACTGACTGACCTGCACATCCACTATCGGGATGAGATGAAGCAGCAGCTGCAGCAACTGGCGCCATCCACCAGCGTCGCCTGCTTGCACCTCACTCTCACCATCTGCACCCCTCTTCTCCGGCTTGTCGCTCACACCTGCTGCCGCCGCCTCACCGTGTGCGGCCTCCCATTCAGACCCACCCTGCTTGTTCCCCATCCCCATCTGTTCCTGCCTCAGCTTCTCACCCTCGCCTTGTCTCTCATCCCCATTACTCCCTGCTCTCTCTGCCATTATTCCACCCACCCTGTTGCCCTTGCTCCCCTCCCTGCCCTCTGCAGCAGCAGCAGCAGAGACGAGGCAGAGCACGCGGCGGGACAGGAGGCGGAAGCACAGCACAGTGGCCGGGCGGCCGGGGGGAAGGCAGCGAGCAATGGACCCAAGGCCTTGGCGAAAGGCATCGAAGGGCGTGACGGCAGGGAAGCACTGCAGGAGGGGGAAGAGAGGGAGGAGGGGAGAGCGAACGGGAGGGGAGGGGAGGGTGAAAACATGTTGAAGGATTTACGGGGCTGATTCTTGTATCCACTGTGGCGGAAAGAGCATGTGTAGTAGAGGGAACACGGCACAGGCACATGGAGGTGGGTGCGATTCTAGAGGTTCTTCTCGTGTGTTGCAAGCAACCCCTGCCCTGTATCACGCCTGCCAGCCTCACGGCCTCACCTTGACTGACTCTTCCACATACGCAAGTGCCACTCCTTCTATCTCTTCCAACACCCGCTTCGATTCCTCTTCCTGCTGCTGCTGCTGCTGCTGCTGCTGCTGATTCAGTCGCTGCTGCTGATTCTGCTGCTGTTGCTCTGCGCCCCCTTCCCTGCCGTCAGCGCCACTGCCCCCCGCATTGCCACTCTCCCCTTGCTCCGCACCACGCAATGTACCTGTGCTGCTGCTTGCAGACGTCTCAACACTCTCGCTCGCACCACCAGCTGCGCTGCTTCTCGGCCCAGTACTGGCTGTGCTGGTGCGACGAGAAGAAGTGCGGGGTGCTTTGGTACGGAAGCGGAGAGAAGGAAGAGCAGAGAGCATGGACGAAGGAAAGGCAGGTGCGGAGCGGGGAGGTTGAGGAGGGCAAGAAGGCGAGTAAGCGAGGAGGAGAAGGGAGTCAGTGTGGAGGGAGAGGAAGGAGGCGAGGAGAGTGTGTGCGGCAGAGCACAGATTCGGCTGCGGATGGGACAGGTGCCTGGAGGAGGGGGATGGGCGGAGAATGGGGACGGTCACGGAGGTAGGGCAGACAGTAGGGTTGTGAATCGACAAGGAGCAGGGGGGGCGAGGCGGATGGGTGACAGAGAGGTACATGACGCCCACACTGAGGTACATGACGCCCACACTGAGGTACATGACGCCCACACTGAGGTACATGACGCCCACACTGAGGTACATGACGCCCACACTGAGGTACATGACGCCCACACTGAGGTATATGACGCCCACACTGTGGTACATGACGCCCACACTGAGGTACATGTGGCTGAGTGCATGGCGATAAGGGAGAGCGCTCACACTCAACATCTCACATGAAAAACCTATCAGGCGTTCTGGAAGTACGTGCGAGTGCACACGATGGCAAAGGAGCACGGAGTCCGTCACGGAGATAGAGAGCACAGCACGTACGTGCGTGCGAGATACGTTCTGGAGATAGAGCACAGCACAGCACAGCACAGCACAGCACAGCACAGCACACGAGTGGTATGGTGCCAGACTGTGCTAGAGACAGCTATAGTGGTATTGGTATGGTGTCACTCTCTAGAACGCTCACATGACGATGAGTGGTGCCAGGTGGTGGAGGAAGAGGCGCAGGGGCAGGCGCGGCAGGGCAGCGGGCAGAGCCCGGAAGAGGAAGAGCAGCGCAGAGGAGGCAGCAGGGTCGTGGTGCCAGTGGTATGCGCGCGAGGGAGGGGTCACAGACGCAAGCACTGGCAGCACGGAGCCTGGTGGGGGGTTGTTGGGGGAGTGGGGCGGGAGGAGCGGTGGAGGGCAGGGTGAGTAGAAGAGTTTAGTAGGATGAGTTAGTGGAGGCCTTCCTACCTTGAGTAAGGGAAGTATCCTGGGATGTTTTTGAGAATTCTCAAAAACCAGCTGCTGCCTTGCTACCTTGTGTCTCTCTCCCTTGCCTCACCTCTTCCTTGAGCCACCAGCTGGGTTGTCGGCAGGCGCAAGCACAGATCACTCGCTGTCCTCTCCCCTCTCCCATCCGCTCCCATCTCCTCAACCCCACGTCCCCTCCCTCCACCCTTCTCTCTCAAACCCTTACCCATCCCACCACCTCCACTTCTCCTCGTGCCTCCCCCCTCCCCCCCTTTAACCGAGTCCACACTCGCTGCAACGAGGTTCGGAAAGAGTTGACCGACGTTGACTCGTGAGAAGTCAAGCCAGGCCAAGCTAGTCAACGCCTCCACTGCCACTCTGCCCTGCACGTCCCTCCATGCCCATGCCACCCCTTCCATTTTCCTTGCCGAATCAACTCCGCCCTCCACCCCGCTTCTGCCATTCCAATCCCTTTCTCCATCCTCCCCGTTCCTCCCCGCGACCTCGTTCCCTTCATCAGCAGTGTCACACACCCTGTCGCCTAATCTCATTTCTGCAGCAGACGCTGTAGCTTCTGCCTTGACTGATGCTGATGCAGGCGTCGCTGCAGGCGCTGCTGCAGCCGTACTTGTCAGTCTCGCATCTGTGAGTGACTCGTCCTCCTCCTCTCCGTCCTCCTCCTCCTTTGCAGCAAGAGCAGCCACAGTGTTGCTGATGCTAGACAGTACAACACATGTGGCCGCAAACGCACCAGCCCTCACCATTGTTGCTGCCTCTCCTGCTCTCTGCAGCAATGCAAGGTTGGACGCATGGCTGGGCTTGATGCTGCTTCTTCGATCGCGGACATTACTCCCAACTCCATTCGCTCCCGATATAGCAGCAGCAGCGCCAGCCTTAGTGCCGGCTGCTGCTGCTTCTGCTGAAGCGGTGGCAAGAGTGTGCAGGGACGCAGTAAACATGCGATGGGAGCAGTTGAGGGAGAGGGAGAAGCGGGTGAAGGTGTGTGCGAGGGACACGAGCGATGCGCGGTGGGATATGGGAACGACAGGTGGAAGAGGAGGAGGAGGGGCCGGGAAGGGCGCGAGAGATTTGGCAGAAATTGCAGGACTTGCAGAACGCCTACGCCCTCCTTTGCTTCCAGACCCTGCTGCTGCCTTCAACCCTTTCTCCTTTCCTCCTCCTCTTCCTCCTGCTCCTGTCTCTCCTGCTCCTCTCCCAACATCACCAGCAGCAACAACGGGTTCCATGGCGTTGATAGCAGCAGTGTGCAGCGCTGCCAGGCCGTGAGAGCCCTCCACCAGGTCACACACACAGCGCGCCATCGCCCCTACCTGCTGCATCCAAGGCCCTTCCACCCACAGCGGCAGCGCTGCCACCACCTGCCTGCTCGCTGCTAGGGTATACCCTTCCACCGCTTCCAACCCATTGAGAAACTTCACCGTCTCCAACCCCTCTGAAACCCCTTGTGGTGCTTGGGGTTGTGTCTGTGTTTCAGCGTATACTGGTGCGTGTGCTGCCTGTGCGACCTGCACTGCCGGATGTGTTTGTGCTACTGCATGGGTCTCTGCATATGCATGGGTCTCTGCATCTGCATGTGTGTGCAGCGCAAGGGAAGCAGCGCCAGCATGCCACGGGCCGAGCTGTAGACTGTCACACAGCACAGCAGCGGCCATGCACTCTAGTGCTGCACCATCCGTGGCAGCCCCAGTCCCCCTCGAGACACACGCAGTCATGAGGCCGGTCCTGCCCCCTGCCATGACCTGGCTCAGGGAGAATGCTACTGCTCTCAGGAACACAAGAGCTGCCCACTGCCGCTGCTCCCTGCTATTACTGCCACTGTTGCTCCTCTCTCCATCATCCGTCGCAACAACAGCAGCAGCAGCAGCAAGAAGGGGTGCCTTGGTCCAACACAGGTCATGAGGAAGTCCCGCAGGAGACACCCCTTCGCCCCCCCGACCCTCCGTCTTTTCCGTCACCCCACCTGCCGCCACTCTTCTCTGCTCCTGGCCGAGTGGTGGTGTGGAGAGATCAAGATTGGGGCGAGCAAGAGTGGAGGGAGAGAGAGTGGAGAGGGAGGGGGAGGCGGCGGGCAAGGGACAGGTGGAGCGGGCAGCGGAGAGCAGGAGGTGTTCCAGGGCGCAGAGGGCAGGGAAGAGCTCCGGGCTGTACGCGCCTATCACACTGGCTAGCAGCTGAGCGGGAAGAGATGCTGTTCTCCTACTCTCATTGAGCCCCTTGTTTCTGCCGCCGCCACCGCCGCCGCCACCGCTGCTGCTGCTGCTGCTGCTGCTGCTGCTGCTGCTGCTGGTGTTGCCTGTGCTGCTTTTCTGCCAGCCTCCTGCCTCTGCGTGTGCCCGGGCGGCAGCAATTGCAGCAGCTGCTTCTGCAGCCGCAGCAGCCAGGGCTGTTGGGCCGTCCCTCCCCACGGCCTGTTTGAGGGCATGGGGGCGTTGCACCGAGAGGTGGTGATAGCGCGCGGCATACAGACCCCTCAGGATACCGCTCACACACAGCACTGCCACTGGCGCACTCAGGGGGGTGAGAGGCACGGGAAAGGATGGATGGGTGGGGGAGGGCAGGGCTGAGGCAAGTACAGAGTGTAGGGAGAGGAGGAGAGAGGCTGTTTGTGCGGGTGGGAGCAGCACGGCAGTGCGAGCAGTGATGAACTCAAGGCATCGCACCACTGCTGACCACAGGGGCACATCCGGTCCCACTAGCACCGCTGCTGCTGCTGTTGCTGCTGTGACGTCTCCTAGTGTGGCGTCTCCTCCTGCTGCTAAAGTGACTCCTGTGGATTGCAGCGGTGCAGGCTTGTATGCCAGAGGCCAGAGGCAGAGGAGGGACGAGAGCAGCGCAGGGAAGGACATGGACGGCGGTTCTGATTCACTGGGAGGAGGAAGAGGAGAGGATGGGAGGGGGGTGGAGAGTGAGACGGGAGGTGGGGAATAGGAGGTAGTGGTGGGGGTGGGAATGGGTGCAGGAGAGGGGCTGTGGAAGGGAGAGGGGGAGGGAGTGAGAGTGCATGAGATCATGGCGTAGCCCATGCCGGCAAGGGCCTCCTTAAAGCCGCAATGCACGATGGCGTGCGGGCAGTGGCGCATGGCACCGTGCAGTGATGCCGCCATGCTGTCCATGAGCTCATGCCTTGCACTGCTTTGTGCCTCGTTCTCCTGCTGCTGCTGGTTATGGTACTGGTGCTGCTGCAGAGGCTGTGCCATGCAGTGGCAGGCAACACCAACGAGGTACACAGCAGCTGACACGCACCCTCCCACTGCTGTCACATCCACTCCGTCCCCGCCACCGAGCCCACGACAATCCCCAGGGACGCACGCGCCATGGCCTCTGCCAATGACCGCACGAGCCGCGTCGATACCGCCACTGATCACCCGCCACTGCGCGCCAGTGACACCATGAAGCCCACCCACCCCCCTACCTCTCTCTCCTTTCTCTCCTGTCTCTCCTCCAGCAACCGTGCTGCCTTGACCGCCCCCCTGCCTCTTAACCGCAGCGGACTGCTGCCGCACCTTCCTGATCCACGCCCCCACAACCAGCAGGCAGCTCGCCGCGATCTCCGCCGCGATTCCTGGTGCTCCTGCTTCTTCAGAGGCGAATACGTCCACATTCACCGTTTTTCGCGCATCGAGACGTCTTAGCAGCGCGACCAGAGACGCGGCTTGGGCATCCCGAGCCGCGAGGATGAAGCGCAGCCGCCGCAGGAGCGTCAAATGCGGGCGCAGGGCGACGAGTTGGTCATGCGTCAACGGGGAATCCGGCGACGCAGCTGAATCCGCGTCGAAATCCGCCGCACCAGCCGCGGCATCGTGTACGGATTTCCACGCTGCGGCGATAGCCGTTGGAGAGAAAGTCGAGCCGGCGGCGGAAGGAGGAGGGGGCGAGAGCAAAGCATCGTCGGAAGGACCGAGCGCGGACTCTAAAGGGAAGAGCACGTCCATTGCGGGCGAATAGACGATGCTCACATGGTGGTGGTGCGCCTCGCAGGAAAAGACGTGCGAGGAAGGGAGAACCTGAGTGCGAGAAACGGATCACCTGCGCTTCAGCAACGACGTATCTGGGAGCACGTGATAACAAAGGCTGCCTGGGGATGCATTTTTAGCACCTATATTTTACTGAAAGCATAATTTGCCCGTATTGGAAAAAACATGTTGCATAACACCAACCTGTATATGGTGAATCTGGGAAGTAGAGGTGTAATATCATCTGTATCGTACAAAATTATGTACAATTGATGGCCTCGTATTTGTCACTTTCCCGAAACGCGCTGGTTCTCATTGGCTGAAGCCCCCCCACCAGCCCCTATTCCGAAGCGCCTGATAAGGCACGCCACCTTGGGATTGGTTGCCCGCAACGGGAATGGGAACTCCTCACCACCACCACCATGTTAACCAGCCAACCCAACCCAACCTAACCCATCCCAGTCCCTCGAGCTGGCCCTTTCTGCTTGCTTGCGATGATGTGTTGTCTTTCTTCGTTGCCCCTGACTTGGCAGTTGAAGCAGCACTAGTTATGGGTTACAAACTTTTCGAGGTCCGAGTCCCGACCTGTAATGGCAAACTAGTTTCCAATTTCCCAGTAGTATGAGTTCCGCCGATTGTAAGCATCCGTGAGCAATTCCAATCCCGGGCTGATGTCAGTTGATAGTTTCGGGCATTTCTTATCAATGTGGCACTCGCAACCCGTGTCCAACTACCACTAGTAATAATACTCCCACCAGTCGAGTGTGGCCCAGTCGCATCAGCGTGCTGCCCTCTCGACCATGCTCGCATCGCAACAGATTCTCCACAATCACCAAATGACGCTGCTTTTTAGTCGCAGAATACGAGGGCACGCGCGACTCGCCATCTGCTCCCTCGTGTGTACGACCCTCGCGTGCTTCGTCGCCGCCTGCTGGGGCCGCGTCGAGGGCGCGGCGGCGGCATAGGGCGGCGACCGCCTTCCGCGCCTGATTCTCCTGCAGAACAATACCTTCGGCGCTAGATGCCTCGACGGCAGGTACGCTACGCTATCAACCGTCCCCCGTCCCGTGTGAATCGTAATGTCCCGTGTAACCATACGCAACGGTAATCAACGGAAAATTGAAGCAATTTCAACGGTCACTTGCTTGACTTGAACAAACAATGCTAGATCCGCACTCGTGAAACCTTCTACCCTTTCACGTTAACCTCTTATCTCCCCCAAGAGCAGTCCTCCGGGGTACTACTTCCGCCCAGGCGCGCGCGCGGGGGTGCGCAAGTGGGTGGTGCACTTGCGCGGCGGAGCCTGGTGCACCTCTCCCCTCGCATGCGCTTGGCGGGCCAGGGGCATGCTCGGATCTGAAGGAATATATTAGAGAGCGTAGCGATAGCGAGAGAGTCTCTGCTATGGGAATGATGTTGCGCCAGCAACTTGGTAGAGTTTTGGTAGCGTTTGCCTCTAAGGACTTTGTGAGAATTGAAGTAGCATTTGGGCCAAGTAGAATTGCAATATCAATTATCAAACACACAAGCAAACACAAACATATATAGGCAAGCAAGAGTTGCACAATTGTTGCGTGGCGCTGCGAGTAACCCAACCCACACGAAAGTGCTGTGCAGGTGGGTGAACGCGCCCCGCACATTTCCAACCCAACTCGGCACCGGAATGTCTCACCGTGCACGCTACTCCTGCCAACACAGCAAGTGAGCAGCGTGCCTCACAAGCAAGGCACCTACGACCCCCAAGACTCGTCATTCCTAGCACCGATTCCGCCGAGTTCGCTGCAGTAGCTCACAGTCACCCGTAGTCACTAATGACCGCCACCGAACTCGTGCGTCGGTGCCGAGTAGACTCAGTCATTAGGCGCCGACCTGCCAAGTCAAAGGTCATCGAGGGCCCTTGCTGTCGTAGGGCCCTCTAACACTCCCCTGCCATACTACAGCAAGGCCCTTTATAATCACAGGGCATGCATACACACATACACACCAAAACAAAGGGATACACACAAACGAAACACGCTCAAAGTGTAAACACGCACCGCACCAGCCATGGATAGGCCATGGCACCATCCACATCATGGAGTGTCTAGGTCTTCACTCCCCTCACTCGAGAGCCGCACCTGCCCCACAGCCTCGAAGCAACGACTGAAGGCGGGGAAATGCAATGCCTTTGTGAGGTAGTCAGCAGGCTGCTCGCTCGTAGGGATGTACTGCAGCTGCAGCTTCCTGCGCTTGACCATGTGCTGCAGCCACATGTGACGACGCTCCATGTGCTTGAGGCTCCCCTTGAGCCCCATGCCACCTGCCACTGAAATGGCGGAGGAGTTGTCCACAAAGAGAGTCGTGGGCTCCTCACTCCTCAGCAGTTGAAACTCTGCCAGCAGGAAGCGCAGCCTGCGCGCCTCCTTCCCAGCCTCCACAGCAGCAACGTACTCAGATTCAGTGGAGGAAAGGGTGGCGCAACGAATCCGCTGGCTCGCCCATGAGACAGCAGCACCCCCGAGCACGAAGACATAGCCACCTGTGCTGGTCCTGTTCTGCTTGTCCCCTGCATCATCAGCATCGGCGTAGCCCACCAGCTCCAAGGACTCCGGCCCACCACCAAACTCCAGCGCCACATCCCTGCTCCCCACCAAGTACGCCAAGCACCGGTCCAACTCCTTCCAGTGCTGATCACTCCGCACAGTCTGGCCCGACCCCAGCTTGCTGCAGGCGAACGAGATGTCGGGACGGGTGGTACAGGCCGCGAACTGCAAGGATCCCACCTTCTGCCTGTACTCCTCCTCCTGGCGAGACTGCCATCCCACATCCTCGAAGGTCTGCACACTGAAAGGGTCAGAGGAAAGAGGGGTGCGAGGCACTCGCAGCGGCTGCTCCCCGTCAAAGAAGCGCCTATGGACCTTGTCCACATAGCCCCCCTGGTGCAGCCACAGCCTCCTCGTGGGCCTGTCCCGAATCAGCTGCAACCCCAGATATTTCTCCACAGGGCTAATCTCCCGCAGCTGAAAGGCACTCTGCAGCAGGTCACGCAGCTCCGCTAGCATGCTCTGACTGCGGCTGGCAGCAAGCAGGTCATCCACATACACCAGCAGCCAGCACATCTCCCCCTCAGCATCAGTCTTGAAGTACAGAGCCTCATCCACCTTGCTCTTCTTCCATCCAGCCCCAAGCAGCACCCCATCCAAGGCCTCATACCATAGCATCGGGCTCTGCTTGAGCCCATACAGACTCTTCACCAACTTACAGACACGAGGAGTCCCATCCTCGTAGTAGCTCGGCTGCTCCATGTAAAGGTCTCGGTCCAGCACGCCATGGAGGAACGCGTTCTTCACATCGAGCTGCATCAGGTCCAAATCAAGTGCAGCTGCAATCGCCAGAAGCACACGCGCCGTCACATAGCTTCCCACAGGGGCGTACGTCTCCTCATAGTCCACCCCTGCCACCTGCGTGAACCCCTTCACCACCAGCCTCGCCTTCTCACGCTCCACTATCCCATCAGGTCGGAACTTGGTGTTCAAAATCCAGCGGTTCTTCATCACATTCACCCCTGGCGGACGCGGAACCAACTCCCACGTCCCCTGCTCAATCAAGCTCCGCATCTCCTCATCCATCGCCTCCTTCACCTTGTCTCCCTTCCAGCAGCCCAAGGCCTCCTTCACTGTCATTTTCGCTATGTCCCACTGCCTCTCAGGATCAGCTGCCACGTCCGGGTCCAGGTTAATCCACTCCTCGTCCTCCTCCTCGTCATCCAAGCCCGCTGGCTCAACCACTACAGCCCAAGCGTATCGAACAGGCGGGACACCACGAGTGATGCGAGTGGAGCGACGCAGTGGTGCAGTGGTCATCCCAGAAACCAACACACAACCACCATCTCTAATTCCCCACATCTCCTGCTCCCCTGTCTGCTGCTCCCCTGTCTGCTGCTCCCCAATCTGCTGCTCCCCTGTCTGCTGCTCCCCAATCTGCTGCTCCCCTGTCTGCTGCTCCCCAATCTGCTGCTCCCCTGTCTGCTGCTCCCCTGTCTCCTGCCCCCCACTCTGCTGTACTCCATCCATACTGCTCTCGTCCTGCAGCTGCTCAGTCTCAAGGCGCTGCCCGTCGGTGATCTCCACAGACGGTGGCACCTCCATCCCCCCCTCACCAACGGGCGGCGCCGTGGAAGACGAAGAAGAGGGCGGAGCAGGTGCAGGAGGGATGGAGGGTGGAAGGGGAGATGGAATAACAGGAGGAGGAGGGGAAGCCAAGGGGGGTGAGGAGGAAAAAGGCGGGGCAGGGGGAATCACACGAGGGTAGACTGAAGGCGGAGGTGGGGTGGGGACCGAGGTAGGGACATAGGGCATAGCAGGAGGTGCGACCACCTCCTCCTCCTCCTCCGCCTCCTCGAGAGTGATCGGGAAGAGTGAGGGAAGGGGCTCATAGGGCATCGAACGCCCCCCATGCTCCTGCTGATGCCAAGCCTTCCATCCTGCTAAGGACATGGTCTCATAGAACACAGCTTCCACAGTGGTGATGAGGCGGTTGGACTCCAAGTCCAGCACGGTCCAGCCCTTGCTCGCAGCTGACACACCCAAGTGCAACCCCCAGCGAGCCTTAGGCGCCAGCTTCCCCCCACGCTGCGACTGTGGTACCATGTACTGCAGCATGCAGCCCCAAACACGCACCATACTGACATCAGGTTTGCGTCGGAAGGCGAGCTCGTACGGCGTCACACCAGAGGGTAGTGAGGCGTGCTCCACGCGGTTGCGCACCCAGACGGCCTGAGCCAACGCCAGGTGCCACCAGTGATGCTGCACACCCATGTGCAGCAACATCGTCCGCACCGCCTCCACAATGCTGCGCATCTCCCTCTCGGCCATCCCGTTCTGCTCCGGTGCGTATGGGCATGTGAGGTCATGGATGATGCCTTTACCGTCGAGGAAGAGCGTGAAGTCGTGCCCCAGGAACTCGCCACCCCGATCAGTGCGCAGCGCCTGCACCGTGGTCTTGCACTGTCGCTCTGCCATCGGGAGCCACTTCTGGAACGCCGCCAGCGCATCACTCTTCTGGGCCAAAGGGTAGGCCCAGACATATCGCGTCTTGCGATCCTTCAGCACCAAGAAGTAGCGGCTGCCGTCCTTAGCTGCTTCACGGAAAGGGCCACACAGGTCAGCATGCACCACCCCGAGCAACTCATCCTCCTCCTCTCCCACAGAAGGAAAGGTATGACGAGTGATCTTTCCCCCAACACAGGAGACACAAGGTATGCCTGACTTGCCCCCCTTCTCCAAATCCAAGCCCTTCACGGACCCGTGAGCCGCTGTGCGCTCCATGGCATCAATACCAACGTGTGCCATACGCGCATGCCACAGGTCCCCCTTAGACCGTACGCCCGTCGCCAAGGTACGAAGTGCCACCGTTTCGCCTTCCTGCTGCTGCGTCGAACACGGCTGGAAGTTCGTGCAGAGAACACGCCCCTTGAACTCCGCACGACCAAGGAGCGATCCATCTGGTGCCCGCAGCAAAGTCACATCCCCGGGATCCAGCAGCTGCACACCACTATCACGCAGCTGCCCAGCAGAGAGAAGACTCGCCTGCACTCCTGGTACGTACAGCACGTCCGGCACCAAGACACACCTGCCCCCCTCCCCAAGAAGAGCGACTGTGCCTCGCCCCTGCACCTCCTGAAGGGCGCCGTTGAAGCCGGTAACCTGCTTAATGCTGCCGCCGCTGCTCATCTCCACAAAGGCAGAACGATCTCCCATGAGATGGTGGGAGCATCCGCTATCAAGCAGCACGACGCTCGGGTTCGCCTTCACAGCAGCTGCAACAGCATGTAAGCCCTCCCCGGCCTCAGGCTCTAGCACAACGAGAGGAGTCTGCTCCACAACTGGCTTCACCATCGCACATGATGACTGCCCGCTCCCCTTAGAGCCATCACCCCCCTTTCCGCTGCTACCTCCAGAACCCTCTCCACCGGTGTCTGCCTCCTTATCCGCCCGCTGCTGACAGTACTTAGCAACATGCCCTATTTGTCCACACACATAGCACTTCCCCTTGAAGCCCCCTTTCCCCCCCTTCGGCTGGCCATCCTTACCCCCTTTCCACTTCTCCCCTCCCCCACCAAGCCCACCCCCATTCTTAGGTTGCTGCTGCTGTGCCGTAGTGGGAGGGGAAGGGAATGAAGTCTGCTGGAATTGGGGCTTACCCTTCTTGGTAAAGACCTGGTTAGCCTGGGGAAGAAATTGGTCCTTTCGTCCCTCTGCCGCCAGCGTACACTCCTCCTCGATGATGTAGCTAGCGAGGGTGTCCTCGTCCAACTCCTTGCGAACCTGCGGCAACTTCAGCATCCTGCGTAAGAGGTTGTACTGCTGCGACAACCCCTTCACAACGTGAGTGATGTACGACGCCTGCGAGTAATCTACGCCGGCCATCCTCAGGTTCACTAGGATCTGCTGCGCACGGTTGCAATAGGACGTAGCGGACTCGTGCTCTCCCATCTCGAGGTTAGTGAGTGCCTGCTCTAACTGACCGATGTACAGATCGTCCTTCGCCATGTACGTGCGCATAATAAACTGCCATGCCTGATAGCCGGCATCGACCTTCATGCGACACGCCTTAAGGGCGATCTGTACGGTTGGGGAGCAGCATCGGGAAATGGTGGTGAATGTCAGCAACTGCATCGCGCGGAACTGAGAGAGATGCGCAAGCGCACGCGCTGGTGGAATGGGGGTGGTGCCATCTATGAATCGCTTTAGCTGAGCGATCTCAAGCTGCGGCTCGATTGATTCTGTCCACGTCGACAGGTCGTGACGTCCTTCTAACGGCCTAGTGACAACGATCTTGTCTGGAGTGAATCTGAAGTAGCCATAGTTGGGGGCTATTCCCTCGTCCCTCGACATCGATCCAATCGGGGTAACGCCCGGCATAGCCTCACTATCGAACTCTTCCGCAATTCATCCTCCAGCAACGCTCCGCCGTCCTACATTCGCATGCTCTCGTGACGCTGCTGCACGATGAACACGCTCCTGTACACCGCCAACGCTAGCCGTACTAAACCGAGTTGGTCCTCGCAGGACCCCACGCGACATCAACCCATCAAACTCCTCGTCATCGCTATTTCCGCCATCGACAGCCATATCCCACGCACTAGTACCTCCCGCAACTTGCTCAACATTCTCTACACGTGGCGAAGGGTGCTCACGACGCCGACGCGAGCGCAATCCCTCCAACATTAGCTCGTATTCGATATCACTAATCTCACCACGAGAATGACGAGCCACGAGATCCTCCTCTAGGGCGCGCAAATTACCGGCCTCCACGTTCGCCTCCTCTGTACTCATCCTCTACGACATCTCTATAAGGTACCACAAATTAAAATAAAGTGCCCCTTCCTTAAATCCCTCGTCTCGGGGTCACCTCACAAGGGTCCTCAGACGAGTGGTAATAAATTACCAAACGCCCTATCCTTGGGTCCGAGAACGTAACTGGAGGGAAATCAAGAGAGGTTCAACTTAGATTAATAAGCGCCCTTCACTAACGCCGCACGCCAAGGCGAGTATACGAACGCGAATATCAACGACGACGGAAATCTATGCGTGTTCGTTCCACGCTCACCGCACCATGAAGGAATATATTAGAGAGCGTAGCGATAGCGAGAGAGTCTCTGCTATGGGAATGATGTTGCGCCAGCAACTTGGTAGAGTTTTGGTAGCGTTTGCCTCTAAGGACTTTGTGAGAATTGAAGTAGCATTTGGGCCAAGTAGAATTGCAATATCAATTATCAAACACACAAGCAAACACAAACATATATAGGCAAGCAAGAGTTGCACAATTGTTGCGTGGCGCTGCGAGTAACCCAACCCACACGAAAGTGCTGTGCAGGTGGGTGAACGCGCCCCGCACATTTCCAACCCAACTCGGCACCGGAATGTCTCACCGTGCACGCTACTCCTGCCAACACAGCAAGTGAGCAGCGTGCCTCACAAGCAAGGCACCTACGACCCCCAAGACTCGTCATTCCTAGCACCGATTCCGCCGAGTTCGCTGCAGTAGCTCACAGTCACCCGTAGTCACTAATGACCGCCACCGAACTCGTGCGTCGGTGCCGAGTAGACTCAGTCGTTAGGCGCCGACCTGCCAAGTCAAAGGTCATCGAGGGCCCTTGCTGTCGTAGGGCCCTCTAACAGGATCTTCGCGCAAACTGCCGCGCTCTCCCAAGGTGCGCACTCGTTCCCCGCCGCGCTTCCGCTTTCCTCCCCATGTAACGCCCTCCGTTCCGCCAATACCTCCTCCGCCCAATGGCGTTTCTCCTCTTCGCCGCCACTCCCGCGGCCACCACTCCCCCCATTCCCCCCCGCTCTCCCCCTTTCCGCAGGACCCGCGGATCTCCGACTCCCTGGGCGAGATCTTGAGCGCGGATCCGCGGGAGAATCCGGGGTTCGCGGATTGGAGCCTGGCGGTGCTAAACTACTGCGACGGCGGGGGCTTCGCGGGGACGGCGGGGCGGAAGCTGGTCGCGGGCGTGCCGGAGGGTTGGTACCCGCAGGCGCCTCGTCGTGATAGCACCGATAGTAGCGGTGGCAGCCAAGACACAAGCAGCGGTGGCGCCTTTTTCCCTGGCAGTGTCAGCAATAACGGAGGAGGCGGCGGCAGCGGAGGCGGCGGAGGAGGCGGAGGAGGCGAGGGAGGCGGGGGAGGCGGCAGTGGTAGCGGGCGAAAGGGTTTTTTCGGGCACCAACGCGCCGGTGATAACAATAGCGACACTGCCCATCCCATCCACAACGGCAGCATCAGCAGGGGAAGCAGTGTGGAGGGCATGAGCAGCAGAGGGCGCAGTCTAGAAGCCAGTGGAGGGCGCAGCGGGGCGGCGAGTGTGGGGGGGTATGGGTCGGGGACAGTGACCAAGGAGCTGTACCTGGATGGGTACAAGATCGTAAGCGCATTCATGGAAGGTGCGACACTGCTGCCACCTGTGCTGCTGCCACCTGCGTGTGCTGCTACCACATACAACCCCCTTCCCCCAACCCCCACCCCTTTACTCTCTCCAATCCCCTTGTCCCCACCTGTTCTTCCCCCTTTCCCCCCACTGTGCAGGCAGACCTGGTGCGCAGCAGGGGCATGGGGGGCGCGACGCATGTGCTGGTGTCGGGGTGCTCTGCGGGCGCACAGGCCGTCATGGCCGTGTGCGATCGCTTCAAGCTCCTGCTGCCACGTGCTTCCGTCAAATGCCTCATGGATGGCGGCATGTTCGTTGGTATGTGTCGATCGCATCCCGCAGTTGAGATCGACGGAGCAATCAGAGCATGTACTGCTTCTGATAGGATGCTAGGCTGGTTATGAATTCAGCCCTTTTTTTAAGAACGGCCTGGAAGTGGCAATCGCATGCTCAGTATAGTGTCCCCTCTTGTGGGTGGGTGGGTGGGTGGGTGGGTGGGAGCAGATGCAC